TTTTTTTTGTTAATTATAAATTGAATTTGTTAAGATTCTTTCAATGGCAGTTATTTTATATGGACCAAGTCTAGCTTTAAGTCAAGTAACTGGATTAAATATTTGGATTGCAGTTGGATTATGTGGAATAGTTTTTATAATTTATACAAGTATTGTAAGATAGTTTGCAAATTAATAAATAACAATTATAGATGAAAATACTTAAGAGAGGAATAAAAGCAGTCACTGGAACAGATGTTATAGAAGCATCGCTTATATTTATTGGTTTGACTATATCAACTATTATTGGTATATATATATATACTCTCTTTTTTTTAACAAAGATTATTTTAGTTTTTTTTATCAAATCCGAATAAAGATATTACTGACGCAGGTGAAACATCTAAATTATATAAAACTGTGAAAGTTAATAATCGATTGCAATTTTCTGTGTATGTCAATAAAATGGAAAAAAAGGATTTTTAAAAATCTTATTTTGCCTATTATAGTGTTGATTTTGATCCATCAATTCGTTATACAATGTGGAATATATTTATTAGTGTAATATTTTCAAGCACAGCTCAATATGCTTGTATTCAAACCCAAGCACAAAGATATATGTCTGGCAAAGATACAAAAGTTGCACAAAAGTATTCATTGAAGAAATAAATAAATAAATAAATAAAATTTGTTATTTTCTAAAAAGAGTTGTATGGACAAATTATATTATGTTAGTATCTATGCATATATTATGTTTATGGGTTGGATGCTTACTCTATAATAAATATAGTCAATGTGATCGTCTTCGAACTAAAATTATTTCTTGATCATATCAAGTAAAAGAAAAATAAGAAAATGATTATAATGGAAAATGATTTCAATCTAGATGTATCCATTATTTGCAATTGAAACACCACAAAGATTTTCTGGATATGCAGGTCTTCTATTGCATGTATGTTAAGTGCAACATTAAGTACATTTTCAAGTGGAGCTAATAGTATCGCAACAGTTATTCTTGAAGATATTTCTAAGCAATTAACAAAAAAATATTCA